ACTTGCAGAGCTCAGGTAGTGTTGTATTTCAGTGTCAATGTTGACTTTTGTGGAGCGGTGGCTGTCAAGATAGCGGAAATGGTTAACGTTTTCTAATGATATACCATTAAGCCTTATTTCTGGCATTGGAGAGGGATTGCACTATGATACTTCATCTTGTTGATGGGAAGCTTCCCACCGGAGTGGAAATCATCTATCGGACAGATGGCAAGCTATTTAACTTCAGCAGACTGAAAGCCAAAACCAAGGTTACAACAACATCTGTTATAGAACTCCAATATACTGATGACAAAGTTGTCTGTGCGCAATTGAGGCAATCACTCTTGCCTCAAACAGACAAGTGTTCTTTCTCCCACCCTGGACATTCCACAGATATATAAACCCAACTTGCCTTGCTTCCAACAAACCTCACAACCTCTGAGGATGCCTGTCATAGATGTGAGCAAAACATCAGGAGAAAATGCTTCTGGAGCATGGCCATACAGTCCAAAAAACTCAGAGCAACCCAGGGATTACGGCCATGAAAGCCTTCGACAACAGTGTTACAGATTGTTAAATATATCGAGGTTTTACTCGACTAGATTTGGATTTCAGTCATTGTTTGGATATACTGGTTTCTGCTATGAAACTTTGGAAGATGCTGAGGTGAAAGGAGCAACCTTATCCTTGCAACAGGCAGATAATTTGTTTTCACTCTCGAGCCACTTTCTTCCAAACGCTCACTGTCAGGGAATCACTATTTCCTGGAACTTCAAAACTTTCCTCAAGTATTTTCAAGAAAAGTGACTTAGCATTTTACACAGATAATTCATTTAGATTGGCATTCAAATAACCTGCAGATGTATGTTAACGCTGACCATCTTGACCGAAATTCTAGATGGCCAAGGTTCTGTTATATATTTCTCCTGCTGAGATTCAATTGAAATTTCACTATTTAATCTTGTTAAAAGTCATCACACAGCTAAGTACAGATATGTTTTCCAAACTGTATCCCTTGAACAGAGACGGGTGACCTCATTATTATTATTTTTGCATGTATTCGGAGCAAGAAACGTTTAAAAGGAAACCCCTGAATTGATTTTAACTGCGAATACCAAATAAAGCATGATAAACATCAGAACAGAATCTCACATCTTGAAACACATTGTTTCTTCTCCAAAACTTATCTGTTACAGACAGACTGGAAAAAATTGTCCCACTGCCATGCTGGAACCAGAAATTAAACTACAAAGCGCACACATCTGTAAACCAGCTGAGGACTTGAAATGCTTTTTCTTTGTTTTTTAATTCTTTAGACTCTCAGAATCCATTGTGTTTTGGCATCACCCGGTCAACTGTCCTTTTGGAGAAGATTAAAAAGCACTTTCAAACATTTTCTTGCCTGACGAACTGGTTTATTGCACCTTTCAAATAAAGAGCGGTAGCGCGGAAACACATAGCTGCTGTTGCTTCGTCCTAAGCACCAAAAGCTCTAATGCAAAAACATGCTTTTATTAATTTTGCTCCTCACATCAAACAAATAGTAGGAATGTGCTCAGAGTTTTACAAGAGGTTTACTTCTCCCTTATTTTCAAATAAAAGGAGTGGGACTGAATGATATTTATGATGTGCAGATGTAAGCTTAAGGAGTCCAGCTAATCAACATTAACTAGTACTTTCCATCATGCCAACTCAGTCAGTTGTGTCCAGATGTAGCAGAAAACCATGGCTTACCAAATACAATGAGTCTAGAAATCATGCATTTCCCCCTTTCCTTCCTTTCTGTGCTATACATGACACGTACGCAAATACAAACAGCTCCCAGATTTTATTTTAAACCAAACAGACTTTCTCACAATATCTGGCGTGATTTGGTCTAACAATAGGTGAAGATTTTCCCCTGACATTAAGTCTAGTCGTGTCCGACTCTGGGGGTTGGTGCTCATCTCTTTTTCTAAGCCGAAAAGCCGGCATTGTCCATAGACACCTCCAAGGTCATGTGGCCGGCATGACTGCATGGAGTGCCGTTACCTTCCCACCGGAGCGGTACCTATTGATCTACTCACATTTGCATGTTTTTGAACTGCTAGGTTGGCAGAAGTTGGGGCTAACAGTGGAAGCTTACGCCGCTCCCCTGATTAGAACCTGCTGTCGCACTCTAGAACAGGAAACACCCTCTGACTTTAAATACCACATGTTGAATAGGAAAACAATCCTTTTATTGGAGATAATTAAAAAGCAGCAAAGTAAAAAAGCACTTTAAAGAAATAGGTAAATCGAATTAGGTAAGAAGATAAGCAGGAACAAAATAGTCCAGGGTAAAGCTCAGCAAAGTCCATAAAAACAAAGTCCACACTTCTCTAATATAATCCAGAAAACCAGGAAATATTGATCCAAGGCATGTGTATATAGTCATACAATCCAAGAATCAAAACCATGAAACAAGAAATACTTAAGCATGGATCTTCCAAGCTAGGGTTCCATGAAACAAGGACAAGAACTTGATTCCAAACAATGTTTCATCTGACTACATTTCCTGTACTTGGGACTTTTATCCCCTCGTGAAGCTATCCCAAGCACTCTGAAATTGGTTTTGCTTTAATTGAGATTCCCTTTTCTTTTTTCTGTTGGAGCCTGGCAGAGTGCCGAAGCCACTACTCGGCTTGTCTGTTTTGACTAATCTCCTGCCGTCTATCTATTTGCTCATTAACTTCTGCAGGTGTCGAGTTGTTTTCAAGCCCCAAATCCTGGGAACTCTCTGGTAGAAATTCATGGAGTATACCATGAACAGGTATCTCCTGTTCATTCTCTGCATCAATATCATTGACCAAACCATTGCCATCTTGAAACTCCACATCCAAAAAGCACCCTGATCCTGAAACACAATCACAGGCTGAGCTCCAACACTTTCAATCAGGAAGTTCAGATGCTCAGCGGTTTGACCCACTTTGTGAAAACTAGCCAGGATCAACAAACTATGGTTTAAGTTTAGGTTTGTTGGTACTAACTTTAGTTTAGGGTAATCACAATTTCCCAAACTTGGATGTTAACTAAAGATTGGACTATGCATGTTTGTCTCCTAAGCCCATAACTCTTTACAGCCACATCACACAACACTTCACACTCTGCTCACTAATGAGCTAATGCTCAGCTTTTGTATCTTGTTTGTTTTTGGATGCTCTGCTATATTTTAGGGTAATATTTCCCTAATAATATGATCAGGAAGTTCAGCAGCTCAGTGGTTTAACCCACTTTGTGAAAACTAGCCAGGATCAACAAACTATGGTTTAGGCCTAGGTTTGTTGACACTAACCATAGTTTAGGGTAACCACAATTTCCCAAATTTGGATGTTAACTAAAGACTGCTCTCTGCGTGTTTGTCTCCTAAGCCAGGGTGGTTCATGCCTTAGTCACCTCCAGATTGGACTACTGTAACGCACTCTACGTGAGGCTGCCCTTGAAAACGGCCCGGAAATTTCAATTGGTTCAACAGGCGGCTGCCAGGTTAACTGGTGCTCCTTACAGGGAGCGGTCAACCCTCCTGTTTAAGGAGCTCTACTGGCTGCCGTTCATTTTCCGGTCCCAATCCAAGGTGCAGGTTCTTACCTAC